TGACTACATTAAACAAACATAAAATTGTCACATATCTGACAAATAACAAAGTTGGTGTGTCCCCATAACAGAAAAGCTTGTCCATGATGCTGTCAATACAATACTCTATCAATAGCTACTCCATCGTCGCCTTTTTATAACAAAACGAATTTTCGCCACGGTCAAGACAAAAAATTAAATTCAATACTTACCAACTGCAAAAGGTTTTGTAAGTAGAACTTTGGGATTTTTTAGTCCAAGCCCATTCCATCTCAAGCTGCAGAGTCATTTCATGCTACTTACATTAAAGGTAATTTTACTACAAAAGTTTGTGGAGAATATAATAATTTTATCTCTACCTATCTAATTCATATCATTTTGGTTCACCTTTGAAGTTACCGGAAGAGGAAGGTACGAGCAATGTATTGCGCTTCTTCCGTGCAGTAGAGAGAGAAAGTGTGATGATCTTCCGTGCAGTAGAGAGAGAGAGTGTGGTGAGGGAACTGCTACACATGCATCTGAAAATTTTGACTAAACGTTTCTTGATTTCGACCTAATACTTAATCTAGCCCTTTTTATTTCCCCTATCCCCTATATTTATGACTTTTAGCAGATTAAATATTTTTTATGGTTTTGCGCCATTGTAGCTTTCAGTAGTAATTAATATGATATCCCAAGTACAAATTTTCTTGAAATCAAAATTTGTGTACGAAGGGCCAAACTGCAACAGGATTGGATGGAACAAATACTAAAGACACCAATAGGACTCTTTCCAAACTCAAAAGTGACAAAATGACAATGTTTTATCAAATATTGGAGAAAAGGCAATAAAAGATGTCCAAAGGCTTTCAAATCTGGAATAAACCACTTTACTAAAGTCAGATTATAAAGAAGAAAAAAATATCTTTTTCATGTATCAGTATTTCTTTTTCTCCAATTGATTAGAATTAGACGGCGGTTATATGCAAGTCCATTTTTTTATTAGTTCAAGACCTCCAACATAAAAATACTAATTTACCCTTAATGAAAATTAAAATCAAATAAAAAACACAAAACATTAAAAAATAAAAAAAATCATTTCCTTTGTGCAAGACCAAATAAAATACATAAATCCAGAAACTCTTCTTTCTTATTTCACGACTTAAAACTCTTCTTCTTCTTCACAAACCCACCAAGAAATCCTACACACCAAAATTATCAAATACATACCAAACATTCACGATGGAACCAAAAACCAATGATATGGTGGTTTACGAGGGTGGAGAACACAATGGAATATGTTTTAACCGTTTATTTTTGCTTTAGGGCCGTTTCTTTTTTGTTGGAAAAAAAAATCGACGATACAAAAAATCGGTCTGCAAATACCGATTTTTGTTACTAAAGTCGGTAACCACATTCCGATTATTTTAATAAAAGTCGGTACTTAAAAACCGATTTTTGTCGTAAAAATCGGCATGAGAACACCGATTTGTTTTTGTATTATCGGTATTGTCATGCCGACTTGTACTACAAAAATCGGTTTTTAAATACTGATTTTATTATCTGTGTTTTTTTAAGACCGTTTTCTCATACTTTCGTTCATCAACCTAGGGGATTGATGGAGGATTATTCAAATGAATTATCTAACGAATAAATATTTGAGATACGGAAAGTTCTACTCGATTGGGTTAAAGGAGTGGTAGACGCCACCGAATGGTGATAAAACATTTTCGTTTCAAATATTTAAAAAATATCAATTAACCAAATATATAATGTATTATTTAAAAAAAAAATTCAAAAAATATCGGTATCCGAAAACCGATTTTGTACTCAATAATCGACATTAGAACTCCGATTTTGACTTGTAAAGTCGACGTTGTGTCGCCGATTTTGTTAACAAAAATCGGCATTATGATGCCGATTTTCGTGTACAAAATCGGTATGGATAAACCAATTTGGGAAACCAACGAAAAAAAATAAAAAAAACAATTTCAATATCAATTTTTTTTTTTAAAATCGGCCCAATCATTGCAACCCAACAAGAAATAAGTATAGATTAATGTTCATTCATACATATTTATCAAGAATCGATGTTCGATTAATATTTTCGAATTTACAAATAAAAATTTAGTAAAAAGGACATCGATGCTCGATTAATGTTTTCGAATTTACAAACAAAAGTTTAGTAAAATGGACTTACTTGTTGGTGGTGGTGCGGTGGTGGTAATGGTGCGGTGGGTGGGTCGCTGGTCATCACCGGTGCGGTGGAAGTCTCGCTGGTTGGCGTCGTTGGTTGGCAGTAGTGATATTTCTTTTTTGTTTTGTTTTTTTTTTTTTTTTTTTTGATTTTTGGTCTTAAACAAATTAAAAATAAGATTTATTTGTATTTGAGTATTATTTGTGAATAAGGGTATATTTGTCATCTTTGGTCTTGATGTAATAAAATTAGATTTATTTATGGGCTTGAACTAATAAACTCCTTTATGTGGTTTTAAACTAATAAAAAAATGGGCTTGCATATAACCGCCGCCTTAGAATTAATACTTGAGAAAATTTGAATAAAAAGCATAAAATTGAGAAATAGAGTAATCAATCCACAAGGTGTCACTCAAAAGAAAAAAAAAAGGATCTCACAACCGACAAATGCAAAAATATTAATCTTATGAACATTCTAAAAGTAGAAGCAGTAGTCCCATATGCTATCATAAGGAACAAAGGAAGCAAGAGAAGGTAATACTGCTACTCTTACAAAAACAACAGTTTAGATATAACAGCCATCATAGAGGAGGAACAAGGAATGAGATCAATGTAACCTAGTCAGTTCTTCTACTCTCTTCATCAGTTCCTCCACCGGTACATTTATCGCCTTCGAAACCTCTTCCATCTGATTCCTGTTGAGATCGAGAAACGATTCTATTAAATCACCGTCCAAGAAATTTTTAGCATCAACCGTTTTCTTTTCGTTGTAGAAAGATCTCCACTGTTCATGGCTCAGTCCTCCCACACCTTTGATCACTTTCCTCATATTCGTTTGGAGCTTCTCCAGGAACACATACTGCTCGTGCGGGAGAGAAGCAATTACCCCTATAACCCCGTTCACTGTACCGAATATAACTGTTGGAATCTGCCCAACATCAGAATCGGGCAATCGCATTACAAGCGAACCGTGTCTGAACCGATTGACGAATTCGCCTAGGTGGTATTCTCCGACCACCTCAAGACGCCCTCTCTCCTCGTCAGTTGCCCCTTCACTGTTTTTCCGGACAGTGAAGAGGTTGAAATTATTCTCGGCACCAACATAAATGTCATCGTCAAGAATCTCAACAGCTGACATCCAATTTGCATTGTAGTCTCGAGCTCGCTCTTCTATAGCACCCTCCTCGTGCTGCATATAAATAGCAAATTCAAGAAGGCGGTGTCATATTTGAGAATTGTAAACACTTTGAACAACTTGCTAAAAAAATTTCCAAGAGTTCAGAATATTTCACCTTGTAAATAAGCAGAGAAATTGATTTCATCAAGTCACCGACAACAATGAAATCTCCTCTAGTTTGTACATAAAGGGCAAGTATGTGGCCATGATGACCAGATTCGGATTGCAACTCACGAGAGCCATCGTCACGGAGCATCCACTTATACAGCTGAATCTTCTGGTTAATGGCAGCAAGGAGTCTTCCGTTGAACGCATTCAGAGAGTAAACAGCCCCTTTCGTTTCCTTCTCAGCAATCAGCTGGAGTTTTCCATCTTCTACGGCAAAGACTAATATCCGACCCTGAAGTTGTTCCGTTAGAGAAAAAGAATAGTTAATAATGGTAAAATAAGTGCAGCAAAAAAAAATTGGGGAAGGGAAAAAGGAAGTTGAAGAATAATGGATGATAAAATTGAGTTAAGGGCATAACATGCAGCAACGGAGAAAGAGAATACCTTGGTAGGTTCGTTCTCTTCTGGCATAACATATGCAGTCCCGATGCAGTAGTACACATTATTATCATCGGAGAACGAACAACTAAGAATAGAGCAACCACACTCAAACTGATCCAGTGAATAAGTTGATATGAAATCAAAAGTCTGATCATCTAACAAGCGGATAAAGTGCATTTCAGAGTCTTCTGCACTTGACTGGTTATATTTTAAACTGCATATGGCGAAGGTCCGGGTCTGTTCCTGATGACATATACGTCGAGCGTGCTCCCCGAGTGGGATAGATCGTATATGAAGCTTTTGAATGTCATCTATGGTCCCAATGGTTAATTCGCCTTCTTTAGCAATTGCAAGGCTGTTGACAAAGAAAGAATTCTTAAAAGATCTCTAGTTGTACCACAGAAGATGTCAATTAAACATATTACAACCTAACACGTTATAATAGAATCAGAGTTAACAAGAATGTTAACCAAAGGATGATCCAGCAATATTGCAAGAAGGAAATGATATTTTACCTGTCAGGGAAAGCAGCAGAATTGAAAGGGCACATATGACTGACTTCTTTCAGATTTACGTTGCTGTAAAGCAATTTCTTGTTACTGCTGTAAATGACGGTTGGTCTATCAGAAGCAGCAAACACGTGTGTAGCATTCTTTGAAGAGAAAGTACGAAGTGTAATGGGCTGGGTCCCTAAAGATACTTTCTTCCTGTCCGCCAGCTGACCATTACTCGTATTCAACACGAAATTCAGAAGATGTCCATCCCCAAGAGCACATAACAAGTACGATATCTGACATAAACAAAAAAAAAAGCACCCAATGGTGTTAGCCCCATCAGAGGACAAATTTACATATACAGGAAATATGAAAAATATACTAAAATTATTAGGTACATATATAAGAAGTTAAAATACTTGAAGAATGGAACTAACCCCTTCAAAAGAACACAGAAGTACAGAGCGAGGAATTATCTCCCCACCCAAAAGTTCCTTTGTAATAAGATTCAAGTCGGGAAGAGAAAATATCCTAACACTGATATCCGTCCACATTCCAACAGCTGCTAGTTGACTATGGTTTGTATTATCACCAATTGGATTTATGTCCAGGCAAGAGATGTCATACTCCAACTGAATATGTTTTACTTCTGTCAATACACCATCACCAATTTCCAGATAGACCAAATGGCCACCACCAATAGCCAATAAAACCTGTTAAAGGAAATTCCTACCCTCAGAAAAAACTGAAAATAACTCAAAACATATTGAAGCAGTAAATAACACACTGGCAATGTCTAACATGTAAGTAGCAAAAAGCAGGAAGCACAATAAGAAGATAA